GAGAGCATTTCTGTCTCTCGCTACTATGGTAGGGACAGTGGCAAGGAAGCTGTTCTCTCTCTCTCTCTGGCAGAGTGTGCAACAAAGTCAGACCCAGTGGAACCATATGCCTGTTCTGTGCAGGCAGGAGAACTCCACAGTCCTCTTGCTGAGAGCAACATCCTAGCAAGTTGGCTAAGAAGACAGATTGGATTTGGGCTCTCTGGAGAATACCACCAGGCAGTATCAGGGCAAGAAGTTAAAAGTGCACCAACCTATATGGCAAACCTTCATGCTGGTGTGCTCAGTGATATGCTGGAGGAGAACCTGCAGCAGGTTCATTATTTCCTCCCTGGTAGACCCCCACCCTGGGCCCCAGCTGCAGAGGGTTCCAGCCTTTTCAGTGCATGGGCTTGGCTACCAGGGGACACGAGTCAGTATGGCCTGCGCTGTCACTAGCTGTGAATGCCACACGACGGTGCAGACACTGAGCGTGGCAGACACTGAGCGGGAGTGCCTCTGGGTGTAGTGCAGGAGGCCAGTCACAGCCACTGCATTTCTCGCTGCAAGGAGTTTGTATCGGGAGAGATATTATTTTGCAGGGAACTCCTTCCCTGAATGTCTCTGATTAGCATGAGTTGGAAAACCAGCGAAGGGATAAAGGACAAAGCAATTAAGGAATGTCGTAATGAGATTGTCTTTGTGTAACCAACACATTTTATTGGAAGTGACTGACTTTTTAAAAGCCAATTCCACCTCACATGGCCTATTAAGAATCACACACTGTATTATTTGTCTGAGCTCATCAAACGCTAATAACAGGCCTTCATTGTCTGTGACAGCCCTAGGAAACCTGAGATTTTGTCACTTCAAACCCATCACCTTCATTATGCTAAATTATAGAAGTGGCTGCTGTAAGTGTTATGCCCATAGAGTTGGCTTGCGGTCCCTGAATCCTCGTCTCTTATACCTGAACACGAAACTGGACACCAGGAGCCTGGTGGATACCTAGGGTCTTCGTAAGAGAGACAAACCCAGCGAGGTTGGCAGTGTGGCTAGTCTAGCAGGTAAGTAAATGACATTCATCCCCTTTGCCTCACTGCCACATCTGATGTGTGGAGCTGGCTACCGTGCACATAGGTGAAGCTTCCTCCTCCCATTACTACCTGCATAAGGAGCGCTTTGGGTCTTAGTGATAGATCACATCTCAATACCCAGAAGCAGACAGGCCAGGAGGACTTTAGAATCCACACCACAGACAGATGACCAAACTAAATACATTGACTTCTGGCGGATGGAGTTTATGCTCCTGCCATCTGCCCTGCGAGTGCTCCATCTGCTAGCAGCTTCAATCTCAGCAGCTGCGTAAGGCTCCCTGGCAAAATTTAAAAAGAAGAATTAAAATCAATAGATTATTTTCCTCTTTCCAGCCAAGTCTGGTGCCCTCTGCTCCAGCTTGTGTTTGGAATAGTGGCCTAAACCGGGAAAACCAGAAGCAAAACCACTGAGCTATCCCCTGGATATGCCTGATGATAACAAACTGCTTCTAACCACCTCAGCAGTGTCTCTCTGTCTCCTTCTGACTAGGGAGGAGAGAACTCACTTGCTGAGGAGCCTGTCACATGTGTGTGTGGATTGAAGGGGACAGTCCCAGTAAGAAAAGGGGAAGTATGAAATCCATGGAAAGGCTGATCTAATGGGGGTTACACCTCCAAACTATGGGCAGGTGCAAACTTGACAGGCATGTCCAACGGCCTCAACTCATCCCTCCACCACAAAAGAATTGTCAGCTGCAACCCCCTGCACCATCCGAGGGCACTGGGCCCAAAAGGGTGTTCGTCCAGGGGAGGCAAGCAGGGCTCGGGCCCCACCTAGGGCTAGAAAGAACAGTTTTTAATCTGAGTTGTGTGTGTCTCCCGCACTGCTTGGAGAAACCTCCTCTGATTCTCTGTGTCGTTGCAGCCACCATGTGTTAGATTGCCATCTCAATCTGCTATGGGCACAGAACTCCCCTCTTGTGTCTGAGCTGAGGGGTTTGTTTCCTGCCTTCGGAAAGCATGACAGGAGCAATGTGGTCCAAGCAGCCTTGGATGTCACACACAAAATGTGCAATGCTGATCCCTTCCTCGTAATCCACTGCTTGCACTAAGCAGCTTGGCTGTAACTCTGAACTAATTCGTCAAGTCTGGACTGAATCCAAATTCAGGTAATCAAGAGCAGGAGGCCAATCTGCACAGCACAGTCCCTTCATTCCCCCGCCACTATGTGGCGCTCCCACGCCCAGGAGCACAGCAATGATTTAATCTTGCCTCCGTGTGGGGGAAGGTCAATGACCTCGAGGTCCCTTCCAGCTCTATATTTCTTTGGTTCTGTGACTTGTTGCCACAATTCCTGGACAAAGGCGCCTTTTCCCACTAGCTCAAAAATTAGGCATTTTTTCTAACACCTTTTAAAAAGCATTTTAGGTTGAGTTTTCTCCCCAGTCACCTGAAGAAAAAAGGTGAGGCTAAGCTAGTATACTATAGCGTCCTAGTCTGAAACTCTCTGCCTTGCAAACCTTCCCAACACACCCTCGTCTCTCTCTCTCTCTCGGACACTCACCCTTCAGTGTAGTTTGAGATCACACCAGGGTAAGTAGTTTCAGCAATCTTTAGGGCACGAGCTGAGAATTATCCAGGTTTTCCATCTTCCTTATAGATTCTGACACAGAGGGAAGAACAAGCTCCCTGCCCACACTTGGTAACAGAATTCACAGCCTCCCCAGGGATTCCTTTCTAAGCTGCTGACTGCATCTGTTCAGTAACCCCGCATGGCTTGCTAATAGCTGTCCACAGTGTGTCCCCAGGATGTCCCATCCTATCACAGGGCAGGGATGTCAGTGAGAAATCAGAGACAAAGCTGACGGGAAATCTGATCACACTCCACACAGTTAAAACATCTCAGACAGAATTGCAAAAATCAGCCTGAACCTCTTAACACAATCAAATAGAAAATCCAGCTAAATCAGACTGAGGTGTGAACGCGGGGCAGAGTGAGCGCAGGCATTGCTGGGGAGAGGTCTCTGCAGCACCTCTTGGTTGTATTGATACCTTCTGCACAGGAAGGTCTGACTCACGTTACTGCAGCATCAGGTACCCGGACTTGGCTGGTTCCTGTGGCAGGCACCAGTACAGCTATTAATAGAGATAATTTTTCTGCACCGTCCACAAAATCCTGAGCAAAATTTACTTTTTGGCTCAATTCCACAAAAATGAAATTTCTGTTTCTTTGTCAGAACTATTTGCATGAAAAATCAGTTTTCTGAGTGCTGCCGCCCAGAGCCGTAACTGCGCCCAGAGGCCCAGGCCTGACACAGCTCAGGCAGAGCAGAGCACATATTTCTGTGGTGAAGGCAGCAACGTGAGACTTCAAGATTACAAATGAGATCATTCCCACTGCAAGCAGATCCTGGCATGCCCTGCCCCCAGCCAGCAGGGAACTCCCTACCTGCTAATATGAGAGTCAGACAAACAAATTTATCTTCAACACACAGTACTAATCACTGAAATCAGAAGCAAGACGAACTCTGCAAAAAGTTTCTTATAGTGCAGCATCTGCAGTGCCCTGCATTACTGTTAGTGATCCAGCCAAAGGAAAGCCACCCACAATGCTCAGTACTGCAGAAACAGTGCTATGGTTACAAGAGAATGTGGATTCAGTTTAAAGAAATTTAAAACAAAATAAAACAGAACAAACCATTGCCTCCATTCCTACAGGTGTTCAGGGCCTAGGTAATGACCCAGGACAGCAACTACACTTGGCTCTTCTTTTCACCCGGGGTAAATTAGGCTTCCAAAGTGCAAGTCGGTTACTAAACTGATTCTTCTTCTGGCATATGCTTGTGACAGCACAAGCAATGCATTAGATGACACTAACCTGCTCAGAATACACAGTTTATGACTGTACAGTGGGTTTCAATTTTAATTAGAAAATTAAGGCCATGTCTACACTAGAGAGCTTACAGTGGCACAGCTGTGCCAATGCAGCTGCACCGCTGTAAGATCTCTTGTGTACCTGCTCTGTGCCAATGGGAGAGAGCTCTCCCATTGACATAATTAAATCACCCTCAACGAGCAGCGGGAGCAGCTATGTTGGCATAGCATGTCTTCTGCCAACATAATGCTGTGCACACTACCACTTATGCTGGCGAAACTTATGTCGCTCAGGGGTGTGTTTTTTTTCATACCCCTGAGCAACGTAAGTTTTGCCGACATAAGTGGTAGTGTAGACATGGCCTAAGTGTCATCATATCCTTTATGGTAGAACCTCCTACCTGTTCAATTCACAGAGCAGGTGCAAGGATGGGGATGCCCCCAACTCCATCCTGCGGGCTTAAGTGTTTGCAGAAGACAAAGTGTATTTTGCATGTTCAAGTATCAATACAGGAAGTACTTGAGTGCTCATCCCATCAGGGAACCAAACAATACCATGTGACTCATTAGACCAATCATAGCTAAGCGCACAGCTTGATTTTCAGATATTCATGTTCAAGCCACAGAGTAAAAATTGTGTAAAAATATTTGTGGAGTATATCAGTACAATGGGTAAACTGAAGGAAATCTCTACTTGTTTTCAGATAGCAGCTACATTAATCAGATGGATTGTTCATTGAGAGTTATTTGCTAGCCAGAAAGGGACATATTTCAAAAATGTTGTCCCCCAAGTTGCAACTGCAATTTTTCATGAACGAATCTCAGAGGGGGAATTAATTACATGGGTACCTCTGAATAGAATCTGCCCATATATAGCAGATAATGAGACATCTAACAATCGAGTCTGTGGGTGCAAACCCCATCTGCATGCACATAATCTATTATTTGCAGCACAGATGGCTGTGGATACAAAACAGAGCAGCTTGGCTGAAGCTTATTTAAAATGTGGCCCAGAAAATCAGAGTTCTCAGCCATCAGCTCCTCCAGGCTGTTTGGATACATGACTTCCAGGTGGGAGCAAGAGAATCAGGATGTGAACTCCTAACTCACCGGGTATAGTAGGAATCCACGCCCAGTGCCTCTCGTACACTTGAGATGTAGAGCTCCAGTGCTGAATTAGTAACCGTTTGGAAGCCCACGCTGCTTGCTTCATGGATGTCCCCGGCATTCTCTGCCATGCTGTCACCCAGATAGTATTCATGAAACTTCAGAATTCCTGCAAGGACACATTAATTGCCAGCATTATCGACTGTGTGAACGGACTGCACTGGCAGCAACTGCCAAAGAAAGCAGTACAACTGTTACAAGTCCTGAGGGGTTGGCATCTCCAGCAGAAAAGGAGCGACGCATGCTGTGCTGTGTCTCCAGAGGGCTTTCCAGGAGTTAGTCCAATATGCTATATTAAGACTTTGCTTTCAAAATCTGGTTTTGTACTTTGCAAATGATGGTTCAAGGGAAGAAAACCGAGCCGGGCTTTAATGAGATGTTCAGAAGGCACTTACTATCATAGCAGCCTCATATGAATCATAAAACAGATGTTTCTCGCAAGCATCTCCCAGGGAAATTCCAATAGCACATTTCAATAGCAGCATATGAAAAATGTCTATTAATAGTATCTGACCACATAAACTGGACGCACAAGGGCTGAAAGGCTGAACAAAAATGTTATTCCTACAGCAGAATCTCCTTGTGTCACATGGAGATTTCTCAGTTCACCCTTATGCACAAAAATAAATACATGCAAAGAAGTAAAAGGTAGATTAATGCATATTAAAATACGAAAGCAAGAACATTACACAATGGGGCACCCAGAGAAAGGAAACATTCATATCAGGAGTGCAACATTTTGTCAAGGATTCAGCTGTTACTGCAGATAAAACCCTCCTCCAGTCAGACCAGCACACCCTTTCTGATATGATTAACCCCGCAGTGCCACAGCACCTGGTGATCACTCTTGAAAGATTCCCCTGGGCACCCTGTTTGCAGTGGCAGCATAAACAACAAACCAAATTGGGGAGATGAGATGGTCAAATAAAAAGACTTAAGCAACCTATTCTGTAGCAACAGCCGCAAATGGATCCATTGAAATGGTCAAGGGGTGAGTGGGGAGCTCTGAGGGAATATTACCTATGCTAGAATGAGGAACCTGAGATGCTCTCAAAGTTTCTGCATATGTACTGGAGAAGGCAAGAAGAAAGCAGAGAGCTGGCGTCAGCGCCTGAGAACTCCCACATAAGAGCCTATAGTAAGGCAGCCAAAGGTGAAACAGCAACTAGCTACAGAATAAGGGTCTGAGAGAGGGAGACAGAGCCCGAGCAGACTGTAACCAGAACCGCCCCGCAGAGCTCAGTTACACAGAACAGCCTTCAAGGGCCTGGGCAGTTCCATACCCAAGTGCCCCAGGAGGTTGGTTGTGGCTGCTCTTCTACAAGCCCCTAACTTGTGGCGGGGGTGGAGGGGCCGTGACTAAATCTTTATGAATCCCAGTGACAAACCCTGCTCCTCCAGCTGATACCATCTTACCAGGCACAGTGCTGTCTCCAGTGTGGTAAAACCATCAACATTTTATTATGCAAAATGTCTGGTTTGAGAGGGCAGCTAGTGACCGTGTGTGTAACGGGACAGTAACCTCTCTTCACTCAGATCCATAAAAGATTTGAGTAACTCCTAGAGTAAATCATCAAAGGGATACATCTAGCGAAAAATACATCATCCAAGCCAAAGAAGTTCATTTGTGTTTGCTTTCCTTGTTGAACCAATTAGTGCTCTTTATCTCTTTAGCTTTGTCATGGTGAAGAGTTACAATTATTAAATTAGATACAAGAACTACTCCTGAAGATTTACAGTCGTCACTTTATTAGATAATGAATAACAGTTGCCTGCAAAAAGGGATCCTCTTCAAATTAATCCTTCCTGCTCTGCTCATCTGTGATAAATGTTTCCACATTCATGTGAAGAAGATTCAGAGGAACAGACAGCTAGATGGCATATCAGGAAGCTGGGCTGCCCCCCTGTTATCTGAAATCCACTTTAATTAATACAGTACATGTCAAATGCGTTTGGAAGCATAAAACAGAGAAATGTAATTAAAGTGAGGACTTTTTGTTACATAAAAGATTCTCTATTGGAGGTAGCATGCTTGGAACCTCATTATCACTCTGCATTGCCCTGTGGGAAATCCAGACAGATTGGCTGTTGAAAAATGGGTAAATTAAGCACCTGAAAACTTTCCCATTTATGGGTGAATGTCTAAGCCCTGATCATGCTTTTCTGACTGAAACTTTCCTTTCCTCTATTTCTGTGCATGCCACATGTGCCGGCCTATTTTGGCCCCATGAGCCAGCCTGATCCCCAAAAGGAAGATCAGTCCTCAAAACCATGAAGTCCTCCCGCTCAACAGAGGGGAATGGACCAACAGAAACATGGGTATTGAGTAGTTATGGGGGACAAAGAATGAAAAATGCTGGAAGGAAGTGTAGGTCAGATGGACAAATAAGGAACTGAGCTGAGAAGCCCAGGTAGCGCCCACCTCTCCACAGCGGAAGCCACCCAGAGGAAACTGCCTGGACGCGCAGACAAAAAAGTGAACAGAAATTGGCTCCTCTCCACAGTCCCAGAGAATATCCCAGTCCAACTCCCTCTTTTTAGCCTGGTAAATAGCCATCTTGCCCAGCGCCAGGGGGAGGATGACAGGGAGGCGCAGAGATTTTGTGGAGCCACACATAGGAAGAACATAAATAAAAATGTGCAGGGAAAGGTGCAGCCAGAGCTTCAATAAGGGGTTTCTGGAGGAGGCAGGAAACAGGCTGCAACCGAGGGTTGCCAACTCTGACTGAAGCTATTCCAGGAGATTTTCCCCCCAACATTATGTAATGTCATTAATTGTACTGTACCTATTAAAATCTCCTGGATTGCTTTCAACAGTCACTGGGCAATCAATGGTGATCCTGGTAGACTCCCAGCCAATTCAGGAGGGTTGGCAACCCTACTGCAACCTGGTGCACTGAAATAAACAGGCTCTAGGGTCTCTCTCTTGCCACAGAAGGGACAGGTGTCATGGACTGCGTAAACTGCACTGTGCTCATGGTTCCATGAAGGAGCTGCCAATTGATGTTCCTAGTGGTCCCTGGAGCCAAGGTGGAAAGGTGACAGACTGACAGCTCTGGGATCATGTCAAGACCTTCCCTCAGGTATGGCACCAGCACAGCAGTGTGAACCTTACACTCCCCCCACAACTGACCCACCAGCATGCTTTAGCCCTGACCAGGGGAGGCTTCCCTCTCTAGAGTTACGAGAGGAGTCGAGTCTCCATGGCTGGCTCTATCCTGGCCTGCCCACAATGGTGCTATGCAGCACTGGTTTCTGTAGAGAGGATATTTGTACACTAGGAACAGGAACAACAAGGAGTCTGGTGGCACCTTAAAGACTAACAGATTTATTTGGGC